GTTCAACTTCACGACGAAGGGACCGCTGGTTGTCAACAAACATCTCTCAATTTCAGAGCCAATTTCAACTTCACAACGAAGGATATTGGACTCCAGACAACGCAAGTTCAACTTCATGACGAAGGGACCGCTGGTTGTCAACAAACATTTCTCAATTTCAGAGCCAATTTCAACTTCACAACGAAGGATATTGGACTCCAGACAACGCAAGTTCAACTTCACGACGAAGGGACCGCTGGTTGTCAACAAACGTTTCTCAATTTCAGAGCCAATTTCAACTTCACAACGAAGGATATTGGACTCCAGACAACGCAAGTTCAACTTCACGACGAAGGGACCGCTAGTTGTCACCAAACGTTTCTCAATTTCAGATCCAATTTCAACTTCACAACGAAGGATATTGGACTCCAGACAACGCAAGTTCAACTTCACGACGAAGGGACCGCTGGTTGTCACCAAACATTTCTCCAATTCAGAGCCAATCTCAAGGATATTGGACTCCAGACAACGCAAGTTCAACTTCACGATGAAAGGACCGCTGATTGTCAACAAATATTTCTCCAATTCAGAGCCAATTTCAACTTCACAACGAAGGATATTGGACTCCAAACAACGCAAGTTCAACTTCACGACGAAGGGACCGCTGGTTGTCAAACACACATTTCTCAATTTCAGAGCCAATTTCAACTTCACAACGAAGGATATTGGACTCGGAACAATACTTGGATTTCCACTTCACGACGAAGGATATCCAATTCTCAGGCTCAACTTCACGACGAAGGAGCCATATACAAATTCCAACTTCACAAACAGATTGACTCAACTTCGCGACGAAGGAGTCATCTGTAACACCACAACGCCATAGTCTTCAGATCAAGGGTCACCTTCACGACGAAGTACCTTGAACCAGAAGATGATTCAGAGGCCACTTGTCAAAAGCTTTGAGCTCGTCTTCAACTTCGCAACGAAGGATTTCGTGCTCAGAATCTTCCAGTTTTGACTCAACCTCACGACAAGGGAGTCATTTCTTGATCGAATTTTAACTCTGTGACAGAGGATAGTTGATATGGACGAAATTTGTGTCTTTTAATCTTTGCTCTATTTTCATTACACGATAATGAGCAAAGAGGGGCAGCTGAAGACACTGAAATTCGCCCATCATAATACATACATATATTATATTATGTTATAAATTATAATATAGTTTATTTACATCCTTGAATTTCTGTTACAGGCCCAACAATAAAGGCCCAAATCCCAAGTGCCCCAGCCAAGACCCAAACCCGTGCATACTTAGGGTTTCCAAAGAACCCTAGCTTCACACACTCCATCAGCGTCGTTCTCCCCCTTTGAAGACCCAGCGCCGTGCAGCAGTCCCAACTCCCGAGTTTCACGGCCGCACGCCTCCTTTCACAGTAATTTCTCGCATGTTCAACAAGCACAACGACGTGAGTTACAAGGATACATCCACAACCAACCAAGCAGTGATTTAGTCCAAATAAAATGCTAGAAAATCGAGACTAAGACTAGTATTCTTAGACTATAAATACATGTAAAGTGAACATGATTAGGGGGGAATACACACAAAAATACTGAAAAAACCACACATCTATAGCAAATATAGAGAAGCAAGCCGAATCTTTGTACAACGTTTGAAAGGAAATAAAGATAGCATTTTTACCTTATTTTGTTCGTTCTTGGTTACTTGCATGCGTAGTTACTCGCGTTTTGTGCTTGAAAACACCAAAGAAAAAACGTTTTGGCCGATGACAGAGGAGTGGATCTTTTGAACCTTCGATCTTAGATTTACACTCCGAGGCTTGTTTTCCTAAAAAGTACTCGGATATTCTGAAAAAGGAGGCAAAGGGCTCTTAAAAAATCGAAACTTTTTATATTTTGTCGCCGGCGAACGGCGGTCGGCACCAGCAACAACGGTCGGAATCTGGATTTGGCGGCGGCGTTCATGGGTTCATCAAGAACACATGAAACGTCCAGAGAAACGAGAGGGAGAGAGGAAGGGCTTCGGTTTGGAGGAAGGAAAAATGAGAGTTAAAACATATTTTTTAACTTAAATACACGGCCCGCAGACCCGACCCGCCTAGCTAACCCGCGTGTTTTCACTGTGAAATGAGTAAATCTCCGTTTTGGTCCCTCGCATTCTAAAGAGGCTTCATTCTGACCCTAAATCCGATGTCCACGTCATTTTATCTTCTAATCTGGCCACTTAATTTATTTTTCTTTTCAGTTTAATCCCCAGTTAAACCCAATTCATATATTAATTTTCAATTTTGTTTTTTAAAATCTTTAATTATTTTTTTATTTTATTATATTTTATTATCATATATATTATTATTCTTTTATATATATATATATATATATATGTAATTATCTCTATTTATTTGTTTTATTAATCATTGCATATATATATTTTCCTTTTTGTTCCCCTTTATTTTTTATGTGTCATGCATTCTATTTCTGTATTATTTATTTCGCTTTTTACACATCTACTTTTTTCCTTCGACATTTTTATTTTTATGTGTATTTATTTTAGTATTTTGCTCACTTTTCATCTTGGTCTCATTATTATTATTTTATTTATATGTATGTTACCTCTAATTTCATTATTCCGTTTATTTATTTATTTTACTTTGCTTATTTACCTTTTTTATTTTCTATTTTATCTTCATGTTTGTTTCTTTTTTTTTTACTTTATTCATTCTCGTTTTTTAGCGTCTCTATTGTTTTTAAGGGTATCTCAAACAATTAGAGGTAAGTAATCTTGGGATCGTTATCTTACCTTTTAATTTAAAGGTGCAATTTTCTTAATTAAAGACAATTAGAAATTACATAGTACCGAAAGGACGGTTCAATGGTGCTAATCCTTCCTTGACCGTAACCGACTCCCGAATCCGACACATTTCTGGTAAAACGCAAATCAGGTAAGATGGTGTCCGATCAGCCTAATTTTTTTTTTTTAATCGGTGGCGACTCCAATCCATATTTTTCTAAGTCGAAACCTAATTCTGGGGCCCAACCGAAAGACGGTTGCGACAAACATAACGGCATTGCGGTTTCCGCGATCTTTACTTTTTTTTTTTTTTATTTCACACCCTTACTGCTACACTCTCGTTAGTCTTTTAAAATCACCTCTTTTACTTTAGTAAGCCAACTCAAAGGCTTACTTCTGAATATCTTACCCTATCTCCCCCTCTTTTGGGATCTCCTTATCTTTCTTTTTCACTTTTGAAAAAAACAAAACAACTCTTCAGCGTTGATTCTGGCCTGCCATTGACTGTAAACTGTAAAGATGGAGCACCATTCTTGTTGCAACAAGGAGAAGCTGAAGAGAGGGCTATGGTCACCTGAGGAAGATGAGAAACTTATTAACTACGTTACAACTTATGGCCGTGGTTGCTGGAGCTCTGTACCTAGACTTGCTGGTATAGTTCTTTTGCCCATGTCAATTCTCGAACGTTGGGCTGGTTCTTACGGAGCTAGAGCTGCTATCTGATCTGTGAAGCTTCTCTAGGAGACCATGCTTCTTCTTCTCCTCTCCCTCTTTCTCTGACTTTGATTCTTCAATCTTAACCTTGTCAAACTCATTTACAAGAGCCTCCTCTTGGGGCTTCTCCTCTTCTTTCTTCCCCATGAAATCAAACAATCCTCAGTCCTTCGACTCCACTGCTTCTTTACCGGCGACGCTGCTCTCGACCTCATAAATTTTTTTTAAAGTCACGGTTGAATAAATATAATAGTATCCCGTTATCGACTCTATTTACTGTTAAATACTAAATTACAGTCACAAAAGATCGTTATTGTCGTTATTCCACTACCCACCGTAATTTTCCCGAATATTAGTTTCGAATGGTGATATTACCGCATAATAACGACCGTTATTACGGTTACGTTCCGCTATTTGAATCCCTACTCCCAAGTCATATCCATTCTTCACATACGTAAGTCAAATGACATCCTATCCAACCATCAATTTTATCGGATTTTTCTTTTTATCATATTTATTTTATATCTAATATTTATTATCTATCAATTAAAACTAATTTTATTTATAAAATAATAATTAACATGAAATTGGGTATTTTTTTTATTAAAATTGAAATTATTATTATAGAATAAATCTAATAAAGAATTAATAGTAGAAAGTAGAAGAATTTAATGATGATATGAGAGCAACATCTTGGATTAAGGTGGCGGGGCATATGATATCATATGTACTTCTCATGCATTAAAAATCCGACTAGTATAGTTTTTGGGCAAATTACACGTTTAATATTTAAACTATAAGTTTTGATTCATTTTAGTATTTAAATTTTCAATTTGTTTTAAAAGCATACCCAAAGATTAGGTGTTGTTTCATTTTAGTACCACATTTAAAAATTTAATGTTAATTTTTTTTTAAAGTTTAGGTACTAACAGACAAAAATTGAGAATTTATGTACTAAAAGCGTTAAGTTTTTAACGGTTAGGTATTAAAATGAAACAAAAAATTAAACTTTAGATATGATTTAAAAAAATAAAAGTTTAAATATTAAAACGAATCAAAATTAGTAATTTAATTACTAAATGCTTTTTTGGGTTGATCTTAAGGGGCTTTATGCATGAAAGATGATACATAGATGGTACATTTATATAAATTTAAATATCATACATTTCTATAAATTTTCATGTCTATAATTTATGTTACGAGGTTTCATTTTTTGTGTATTTCTAATATTTTATTTTTTTAAATTATTTTTCATCTTATGCTTATTACATTAATATATTTGTCATTAGTATTTATATGGATAAAATTTGTTATAAATGTTTAATTAATCAAGGCGGAGTAACAATCCCTTTTGTCTTCTCTTATTTGTATAGTTTAAATATTTAATTTTCAATTAAGCCGGTAATTATGTAGGTATCGAATTTTGACGGTTTATTTTGCGTGGCTTGATTATTGTGTAACTTTCATGATTGAATCGCAAACAGAAAAAGGGAATTGGACAAATCCACAAGAGAATACACCAAGAAATTTACACAAACTTTACAAAGGTCAAAACAAGGATGAAGAACAACACTTTGTTTTTCACATTGCGCACTCCATTCACAGTCTTTTTCTCCAATAAATATAAATAAACCCCCCCAACACTAAATTTATAAAATTAAAATTTCCAAACAAAAATAAACCTTGTTATCTGCCCATGACCAAAGGAAGTAGCTTCAATCGGAATATGGTTTGGCCTTGGACCTATACAGAAGCTTCTTCTTCTTTGTAGTTTGATTATCAATGGTGAGAACAATTTTCCCAGCCTCACCTGTTTTGAAGCTGTCGGAGATCACAGTTTCATCGGCCGGACCTACTTTTCTTGTCTTCGATACAATCACGGTGTATTCGTCTTCAGCTGTGGGCATGAATTCGGCCCCGTAATTCACGTCCCACCCCACAACTCGTACCTTCCAAACCAGGGCACATTTCTGCCAATCCAACGACCAAATATCGTTCATGTGCTTTTAGTTTTACGTTTAATTTAAGTTTCTAAACGATGTTCTCTTATCCTACCTCAGTTATAGGGAATTCAACAGTGTGCTTGGTTGCTGGTTTGATTATATCCTCCGTTGCAGCATCAGCATCGGTAAATTCCTGTTCACCCTCCCTGCTCAATCCACCGTACTGAACCGGTACTTGTTCAGGGGCAATATATCTAAACACGTGATGTCTTTTATTTATTTTTCACATATATTCTAGTCATAAATAAAGCAAATTTGGAAGAGATTGGAATTATTGGAGTCCACTCGCCTGAAAAGGATATCGGCTGATTTGGATGGACTTGCAAAGATGAACTTGCTCTTGGTTCTCTGGGTGAGGAAAGGACTAATCATTATATTAAAAGCCAAGTACCACCACGGAACATTTATAAACACCTTCAAAATCCATAACCAACATTCAAAATTTGTTCATATTTAATAAGATGTTACAAAAAGATTAAGATATTTACATATTTTTTAGAATTTAATACCTGTTTGGCCACAAATTCTGGATAGTTATCCTGAAGCAAGTTAAGAGCATCGTTGGTAGCTTGCCTGAGCACCTTTTTGCTAAATCCTGGGGAATTCTTGAGATCGTTAACCTGAACTATGGTAGAAATACCTGTGGGACTGAAGTCGAGCTTTCTGATACTTTTTTCCAGGAACTGAATTCTCCATCTCAAGAACTTGGATCTCTTTTCATCGTCTCCGAAAGTATTCTGATATAGCTCTTTGTTTTGGAATTCTCCGTAAGCGTTGTAACATACAGGATGGCCTTCTTTGTCGAATCCGTGCATGAAAACCACTTTCTCCAATTCGTTTCCGAGGTCTTCTTCGAGCAAGCTTTCAACTCCGAACTCCTTTCGCCAGATGGCAGTGTTTTTTATCATGCTGCATGCGTCCTTCACTTTGAAATCCCTTGCCCTTAGGAATTTCAATAGGATCACGTCGCTCCTTTCGCCTGCGAGGAGCGGGATTCCCCATATAGACACCTCTTCAGGCGGAGGTGGAGGAACTTCAGCTTCCTTTGGCTCGTCTTTCGGAACCTCCGGTTCCACAGAAGAAGAGGCAGTTTCCTCTGGTTTCTCAGCTGGAGGAGGAGCGGCCACTGCTACGACTGATTCCTCGATTTCTTCGACAGTCTTGGCACCATCTTCCTCGACGGCTGGAGCTTTTTCAACCACCTCAGTCTCGGGTGCCGGTGCCTCGGCGGATGGTGGAGTCTTCTCTTCTTCCTTGACTTCAACATGTGTTGCTGCTTCAGTTTCTACTTTTTCAGGTGCTTTCTCTTCAGTTTCAGCAGCAGGCTTGTCTTCCTCTTTCTTTTCTTTAGCCGATGGTTCAGCTTCTTTTTCCTTAACCGGAGGAGGTGGGGGTGGAGCACTGAATTCGTGCTTGTTAAGAGCTTCTTGAATAAGCTGCTTAAGCTCCTCGAGAGCCTTCTTTTGTGCGTCAGGAAGTTCACCAACTATATTGGATTCTTCTTTGAAAGACGCGGACTGAGTCACCTTGGCTTCCTTCTCTTCCACCTTAGGCTCCTCAACAGCTTCCACCACCTCAGCCTGTTTCTCTTCAACAACCGCAGGCGGTGCAGCCTCCTCGGCTCTCTCCTTCTCCACCACCACTTCCTCGGCAGCCGCTGTTTGAGTCTCTTGGGCCATGGATCAGATACACGATGGTGATTAAAAAAAAAACTGAGATGAAAAGAGAAACGAGAGCAGAGAGGTTGGGTTTTGAAAAGTGAAGGTGGGGAATAAAATGGGGAGAATGATAAGAAAAAAATTGAGAAAACCAGTCTGTCAGGCCCGTTTGCCAGCTGTAATTATGCCACTTTGTTATTGGACCCCACGTAATTCCCTATAAAGTTGATGCTTTCTCTTCATAATTATATATATATATTAAATAGTATAATTATATTTTTTTAAATGGTAATTATCTCACGTAATCCAAAACTCCAGATCTACCTTATTTTCCAAGTAACCTTAAATCTAAACTCCTGTCCCTGTCAGTTACCACTTTTCATGTACGTGTAATTCTAAACTCTTGCCCTGACCGCTGTTTTTTTTTAGATTCCCTAATTTTTCTTATATATGCTTGAAATTTGTTACCAACCTCGCCTTCAACATTTTACTTTGATTTTGTCATTTGTGTGTATATATACTCTACACTTCATTATTCAAATTAGCCATTTTATTTATACAAATAATAAAATTTTTAATATATATTATATATTTAGTTTTTTAATTTGTATTTTAATTTTAAATTACTTAAATTCATTTAATTTTATATATCCATATACTATCACGTTTTAAATTAAATAAATTCAAATAATTTTAAAGCAACATAAATTTAAACGATAATATTAAAATAGCATGTAGATATATTTATATGAACGAATATGTTATGTCGTAACCGATTTCTAGCGATGCGACGAGTATCGACTGATTTTGTGAAAACCTGATTTTGTAAAAGAAATGTTTTGGAGTCGCCATCGACCTTTTGAGTTAGGTAGGTCGAACACCTAAAAACGTCTTTTAAAAATAATTTTAAAAAAAAATCATTTTTAAGACAAAAGCTGGTTTGCGTTTACCAAAGATTCGATGAAAACGGGTTCGGGGGTCAATTACGTGTGGGAAAGGATAAACACCCCACAAAGCCCAAAATTAGTACCTATCGATTATATATTGTCTCTAATTAGTAGAAATCTAAGAATTTGAATACATATTTAAATCACGATTCCATTATTCCGAGTTCAACCATACAATTTTATAGAACAAAAATTCTAAGGAAAAATAGAAAATATTCTCATATTTCCAATTGAAGAGAAAATACTCCCTAAAATGATTTAGGACGAATATTCCTCTTTCCAACTGAAATAAAATGAATATAATAATTTTTCCTAAGAATTTAATACTAAAATAATTTTCTTTCTACCAAAAAAAAAAAAAGAAATTAAACCTATCATACTTACATCAACATGTGACAAAGACTTTTATTCTAAACAATTAATATCCGAAATAATATACATTACAAACTGTACATATATTAATATGTAATTCACAACAGGGACTTAAATACAAAAAAAAAATGAAAACATAACATACTAAATTATAAAAAAGGAATTAGTTATACATATTAAACTACTAAATCACGTTAAAAAGAAGATCTTACTATCTAAAATGCAAACAAAATAACAATTAAGGCATAAATACGATATTACCACATTGAGTACTAACAATATTACAAGGAATTAAAACAGAATAAACCAACATATACAGGACTAAAACGGAAAAACATAATATCATATCAAATTCGAACAAAAATAATACATCCAATCAGATGGCTAAATTGAAATAATGTAAAATCATGCATTCAATTAGGAAATTCTTGAAAATAAACATAAATGGGGACCAAAATGTAACAGACGTTAAACTTGAAGGGGCCTAATGCCCGATTAACCCTAAAAGTTACTAAAACACAAATCACCTTAAACAGAAAGGACCAAAAGAGTGATTTAACCTAAAACTAATAACCAAAATGCTAAACACGCTAAAGGTCTAGTGGCCTTAGCGTGATTTACCCAAAAATCCTAATAATCAATTCTTCCCCTTTCCAGATTCATTTCGCACGATGGCTCACCCTAACTCCCTCTCTTTTCTTCTTATCTCAACCCACGGTGGCAGTCCCCTCTAAACCGACTCAGGCCACCTCCCCGGCGACCCTAACGTTCCGATGAACACCTCGGCAGTAAGGTATAACCCATCTCTATCTCTATTTTCCTATTTTTTGGCATGGTATTGCAGTAAAGAGGTTGATGATGGCAGGGTATGGCCCTTTGACTTTTAATTTCAGTAATATATTTTTGGGGTAAAAATTGGTGCTTACAGTAATTATCTCACGTAATCCAAAACTCCAGATCTACCTTGCTTTCCACGTAACCTTAAATCTAAACTCATGTCATTGCCAGTTGCCACTTACCATGTACGTGTAATTCTAAACCCATGTCCTTGCCGCTAGTTTTTCTTTTTTAGATTCCCTAATTTTTCTTATATGCGCTTGAAATTTGTTACCAACCTCGCCTTCAACATTTTGCTTTGATTTTGTCATTTGTGTATGTGTATATACTCTACACTTCATTATTCAAATTAGCCATTTTATTTATACAAATAATAAAATTTTTAATATATATATTATTAGTTTTTTAATTTGTATTTTAATTTTAAATTACTTAAATTCATTTAATTTTATATATCCATATACTACCACGTTTTAAATTAAATTAATTCAAATAATTTTAAAGCAACATAAATTTAAACGATAATATTAAAATAGCATGTAGATATATTTATATGAACGAATATGTTATGTTGTAACCGATTTCCGGCGATGCGACGAGTATCGACTGATTTTGTGAAAACCCGATTTTGTAAAAGAAATGTTTCGGAATCGCCATCGACCTTTTGAGTTAGGTAGGTCGAACACCTAAAAACGTCTTTTAAAAATAATTTTAAGAAAAATCATTTTTAAGACAAAAGCTGGTCTGTGTTTACCAAAGATTCGATGAAAATGGGTTCAGGGTCGATTACGTGTGGGGAAAGATAAGCACCCCACAACGCCCAAAATTGGTACCTATCGATTATATGTTGTCTCTAATTAGTAGAAATCTAAGAATTTTAATACATATTTAAATCACGATTCCATTATTCCGAGTTCAACCATACAATTTTATAGAACAAAAATTCTAAGGAAAAATAGAAAATATTCCCATATTTCCAATTGAAGAGAAAATACTCCCTAAAATGATTTAAGACGAATATTCCTCTTTCCAACTGAAATAAAGATATAAAATTTTTCCTAAGAATTTAATACTAAAATAATTCTTTCTACCAAAAAAGAAATTAAACCTATCATACTTATATCAACATGACAAAGACTTTATTCTAAAACATTAATATCCGAAATAATACATTACAAACTGTACATATATTAATATGTAATTCACAACTGGGACTAAATACAAAAAAATGAAAACATACTAAATTAAAAAAAAGGAATTAGCTATACATATTAAACTACTAAATCACGTTAAAAAGAAGATCTATCTAAAATGCAAACAAAATAACAATTAAGGCATAAATACGAATACTACCACATTGAGTACTAAATAATATTAAGGAATTAAAACAGAATAAACCCAACATATACAGGACTAAAACGGAAAAACATAAATATCAGTAGTCAAATTCGAACAAAAATAATACATCCAATCAGATGGCTAAATTGAAATAATGTAAAATCATGCATTCAATTAGGAATTCCTTGAAAATAAACATAAATGGGGACCAAAACAAAAGAGACGTTAAACTTGAAGGGGCCTAATGCCCGATTAACCCTAAAAGTTACTGAAACACAAATCACCTTAAACAGAAAGGACCAAAAGAGTGATTTAACCTAAATCTAATAACCAGAATGCTAAACACGCTAAAGGTCTAGTGACCTTAGCGTGATTTACCCAAAAATCCTAATATATCAATTCCTTCCCCTTTCCAGATTCATTTCGCACGATGGCTCACCCTAACTCCCTCTCTTTTCTTCTTATCTCAACCCACGGCGGCAGTCCCCTCTAAACCGACTCAGGCCACCTCCCCGGCGACCCTAACATTCCGATGAACACCTCGTCAGTAAGGTATAACCCCTATCTATCTCTATTTTCCTTTTTTTCGAAATAGCCTAGAATAAATAAATGAAACAAGTATTTTAAAACCTTCAAAAGTTTGATAGATCAAAAGAACTTGTAATCTTCTTTTCCTGTTTTATTTCTCTCTTAAAATCCCCCTTTTTACATTACTGATTTCGTGGGTTTTATACCCTTACAAAATTTACAAAATTTGATGATGAAGTGATCGGGTATGGGTTGCTGGAAGGGTATGGGTGCTGCAATTGAGTTGGTGTAGAAGGCATGGTGTTACAGTAAAGAGGTTGGTGATGGTAGGGTATGGCCCTTTGACTTTTAATTTCAGTAATATATTTTTGGGGTAAAAATTGGTGCTTACAGTAATTATCTCACGTAATCCAAAACTCCAGATCTACCTTGCTTTCCACGTAACCTTAAATCTAAACTCATGTCATTGCCAGTTGCCACTTACCATGTACGTGTAATTCTAAACCCATGTCCTTGCCGCTAGTTTTTCTTTTTTAGATTCCCTAATTTTTCTTATATGCGCTTGAAATTTGTTACCAACCTCGCCTTCAACAATTTGCTTTGATTTTGTCATTTGTGTGTGTATATATACTCTACACTTCATTATTCAAATTAGCCATTTTATTTATACAAATAATAATAAAATTTTTAATATATATTATATATTTAGTTTTTTTAATTTGTATTTTAATTTTAAATTACTTAAATTCATTTAATATTATATATCCATATACTACCACGTTTTAAATTAAATAAATTCAAATAATTTTAAAGCAACATAAATTTAAACGATAATTAAAATAGCATGATATATATGAACGAATTTATGTCGTAACCGATTCCGGCGATGCGACGAGTCGACTGATTTTGTGAAAACCCGATTTTTTTTAAAGAAATGTTTCGGAGTCGCCATCGACCTTTTGAGTTAGGTAGGTCGAACACCTAAAAACGTCTTTTAAAAACAATTTTAAGAAA